TGCTTGGCCTGGGATAACTCACATAACATTGACCTGATGAATTCTCAGACTATTCTTCTTTGTGCTTTTGTTTACCATTTTGTTCAATTTTTTTTTTTTTTTAATTAAATTGACCTAGCCCTTACCTTTTACCTATCTGCCAATATTTATTGATGACTTTGATACTTATCGTACAGAATGACTCTACTACCATCATTTTGAGTTTTATTACCCTTCTGGTAATAAAACTCAAAAAATGTTGTTTAATCTTTTACGTATCTCTGTGACTGTTTTTCTCTTTTTTTTTTTTCAACTCTATTCACTAAACACCAGAGCTTGTGCTTAAATTCTTATTCACCTTTAGGTGGTTCAGACCATACTTGATCTTAAGATCAAGCATGGTCTAAATTTAGAACTTTTATTTACTTTAAAAAGTAAGCTAGTTTAAGTCTCTGTTATATAATAATTAAATGAAGAGTTAACAGAGTGTTTGTAACTAGCTAGTTAAAGAAGGTTAACAACAAGTTAACAGAGGGTTTGTAACTTACTAGCTACAAACCATCTGTTAACTAGTTAAATGTTAACTCTTCATTTACTTCTTATTTACCTTGTACTATATTTTTTGCACTATGGGTCTTATCTTATACCTCTCTGTTTAGGCAGATCAACTTGCAAAAAACTTTTTCTCTAATTTATCTTCATAGTCTAATGGCCACAATTTGATATCCCAGTGAAACAGGTTAATCAATTGTTAAACATCCAAAACATTTTGACTTCAGTTAAGTACTTTGTGGTTGTAAGGAAGTTAAGATGTCTGACCTAGCAAATGCAATAAATGTAATCTATTGAAATTTTTAAATACAATACACTAGCCATGCATTTGCTGCAAGAATATTTCAAAATCTACAGATAACTAGTAACAATTGTTCCTATGTGTCCAAGTGTAACTCATTGGACAACACACAATCAAGCTTGTTTAACTGTTTTTAAAATGTTTAAACCTACAAATTTTACAAACTTTGTCAACATTCTATACCAAATAAAAATAAGCTACACTTATTTCTATTTTTATATTTTTGTCTATTTGAGTTTGAAAACTAATTGCAACAATAATAAATCTCTGTTAAAACTGTTGTGCTAGTGCTTCTCTCTGTACATTGTGTTGATCTGTTTCACACAGTATAGAGTTGATCAATTTACCCCCTTGTGCTAGTACTACAAAGTTTGCAGGTTAGAATTAGTTATAGTGACATTCTAACTTATGTAAATTAAACTACTCATAGTTTAGATGAGTTGCTTTTCGGTACTTGACAGAAGTATTTTACATGAAATTATTTTAATGAAATGAAATCAGTGACAGATGAATTAACTGTTTCGTTACCAGCTACAAGCCAGTAAAAAAAAAAAAAATCATAACAATTTGACCTTAGTGAGTTTGAGTTAAACATTTTTACACTTTTTGTTAACAGTTCTAAAAGTGAACTACAAAACACTTGCAAATGGGTTTTCAGTAAATCACTTTCTATTTTTGATCCAAGATGATTGCCTAATACAATCTGTCAACTGTCTAGTTATGGTAAAGAAAGCTTAGAGTAACTCATAACAATATGGCAGACTAAAAGTAGCAACAAATTTAGAGCATTACACATCCAAGTTCCAGATATCTCAGAAACAAAAACAAACAAAAATATTAAAAATTTCAAAATCATGTTGTTTAATGTTTTAAAATGTAAAAATCAAAATATGAAAATTAAGTTGTAAATTAAAAACATATAATCCTGAAGACAATTAGTGAATCTTTTATATTTATTTATTTTTTCACTGTATATTTACGGTGGTTTCTATAGTTTTGTTTTTGCATTGTTTTGTTTTAAATCACCCATAGCCTGAATAAATGAGCTCGTATGTTGAGAAATGTTCATTAAAAACACACATGACACACCAAGGGAGTTGCTTGTCTGCAGGCTATTGTGCTATTGGTTTAAATAAGTTTTAAAATATTATATTTAATGCAAAAAGTTTGATTTATAAGTTAAAATAAATCAATAAGTTTATTTAAAGTTTACACAAAAAATTATTTAATGATTAAAATTAGATAAACAAAATATTAAAAAGTTAACAAAAGTTTATGTATTTTAAACTATAATTAAACTATAAAACTTTCTTAAATTTCATTTTTAAAGTCATCATTTAAAATATATCATTTTTAAAGTCATTATTTAAAAATTTGTTTCCTTAAAAAGATACTAGAGAAATGCGGAGAAAAAAGTTCCTGCCTAAAAATTAAATACTATTAAACATATTTTTTATAATTCTTAATCAATGATGTTAAAGAAGTTTTTTAAACCTTCATTTTTAAAAAACTTCTTTAGCATCATTGATTAAGAATTCTTTTACCATTTCATGTTTTCCTGAATCCATACACTTAACAGTTTTTATAGTCTTCAGTTCAAAATTTTAAAGAATAAAAAAAAGAGTTTAAATTTTACTTATTCAATCTTTGGGAGGTAAAATAGAAAATTCAAAAAAAATTCCATTTACCAAAAAATTTTTGGTTCTTAAATCAAATATTAGTTGTTTGCAAGTTTGTTTAGAAAAAAGTGTGTTTGTTTAGAAAAAAGAAGCTGTAGTTATTCATTCTTTCATCATTCACTCTACTTTAGTATTGAGCACTGTCTATTGTTTTTTCTAAGCTACTAAATTTTTTAATGTTTTTAAATATAAAAATTATTGGAAAAAAATTAGGAAGAGAGAAAGAGGAAAAAAGTTTTTTCTTTTTTTTTTTTCTTCCTTCTAATTTCAAAAGATGAACTAACTTCAAAAGTTGAACAGATCTAACTTCAAAAGTTGAACAGATTTACCTAACAGATTTAAAAAAATCAAAACACCTGGATAAATTTGTTGTTTATGTGTCATGATTGAGATACTTATGTTATTAATGGGCTCATGTAACTAGTCTTAATAAGCTGCGGATAATGTGAAAAAAAATTATGTTTTGAAACTTAATAAAGAAAAAATTTAAGACAGTCCTGCTACTCCAGAAGGTGCTACTGACAAAAAAAACAAACTTCAAATTTTATTTTAACAGTTAAAAGTCTTTTTAGCTTTATTTATTTTTTTACTATAAATATATATGGCCAGATTAAAAAAGGGGGAGGATTTAAGCCCTTGCACAGCAGCTCAGATGACAGCTCATTAAGCCACTGATCTATCAAATTTATGCATGTAATTAAAAAAAAAAAAATCAACACTTATCAAGCAGGTTCCCTAATAATAATTATAAGCTGCACATATAGAACTTGAAAAGTGTTGATTAATTGCAATCAATATAAGAGTTTACGAAATTTTTTAATTACATGAATAAGTTTGATAGACCAGTGGTTTAATGCGCTGTTATCGGTGCTGCTTTGCGAGGGTTTAAATCCTCCTCTTTTTTAATCTGGCCATATATATTTTTAGCAAAAAAATATAGCTAAAAAGACTTTTAATTGTTAAAATAAAATGCAAATTTATTCCTATTTCATAGGAATAAAGTTATGCTTATATATAAACACATATTTTATATGCAAATGTATAAAATCCACATATATAGCGTTTTATACAGGATCGTGTGTAATATAAGAAAAGTTTTCTAATAGTAATAGTTCTTTTTTACTTAAAGGGATCCCCAACTGCCGAGACAAATTGTGTTCATATTAAAGAAAATGTGTCTAAGAATAATTTTACTAAAGCGTATAAGTTAATTTAAAGTATAAACTGAATAAAAAAATGATTGACTTGGAACTAAGTACTGAACTAAGTAGAAAATAAATATTAAACAAATTATTTTACTAATAACCGTTCAAATCATATAAAATTTAAGTTAAAACAAATATTTGTAAAATACTTATATCTTTAAAAAAAAAAAAAATGCATCTTAAAAAGATATTACGATGATGTCATATACTGAAACTGTTATGTTAAACACGCATGGAATAAATTATCAAGTCTGCAGATTGCGGCTAACATTATACAGACCCTGAGAACCAAAAAAAATGGAGAAGGCAAGCTTCGACTAAAACAATAATTTTAATTTTGTTGGTATGCATTCATTACTTAGTTTCAATCAAAAAAATTTAGCCCAAATGTTTTTTTTAAACATTTTCTTTAATATGAACACAATTTGTCTCGGCAGTAGGGGATCCCTTTAAAATTTTATTTTTAAAATTAGAAATCTTTTTTACTATATTATAATTTTTTTGCTATAAATATATAAGCAGGGTTTAAAAAATTTTTAAATTTATTATGCTAAGGAGAGGCCTTAAAACTCCCTGAAATGACACTGATGAAAGTGCACTAAATCACTGAGCTATCTATGATATGCTCTACTCTACTTTTCAGAATAAATTATTTTACTAAAAAATATTGAAGTAAAAAAGGAATAGGTATAGAAATGATCGGTATCAAGTATAGAAATGGTAGGTTTGGTCAAAAAAACAAAAATAAAAATTGGTATTAAGTTGCCACAAAAAAAAAGGATTGGGATGGAAAAAATTGCCTTTAAAAAGATTTATGTTCATCCAAGTATGAAAATTTTTCCTTAGTTTACAGATCTAATTCTAGTATATATATATATATAAATATATATATATATATATATATATATATATATATATATATATATATATATATATATATAAATATATATATATATTTATATATATATATATATATATATATATATATATATATATATATATATATATATATATACATATATATAGAGATATAGATATAGATATTCTGTAGGTTATGTTGGATTAATTAAGCAATAATAAAAATTTGCTTTTATAATAAAATAACTGGTGTAAAACCAGTTACCTGGTTCTATAATTTAAAAAAACCGGTAACCAGTTTTTTGAAATTATCTGATTTTTGTCAAACCCTACTGAAAATTTTTTTCTAAACAAACCCGCTAAAATTTTTTTCTAAATTTGCTTTTTTTTTTATTTATGCAACCTTTTTATCCTACTTTTATTTAGTTCCTGGAAAAATTACTGATGTCACAAACACTTCAGATTCAGATGGAAATGTTATCTTAAAATGGAACCCTCCTTTTGCTCTTGGTTCAGATCAACTTACATATGTGATTGAATATGGTGACAAAACAGAAAGAACTAAAAATGAGTTTATTTTTATTAAGCAAAATCTGTTCGATAAAACTTACAGAGTCAGGGTAAATATATTAATATATTAATTGTATTTTATATATTGTTTTTTAAAATATTATAACATGTTAGTTGTGTTATATATTACACACACATGTAAAAGTGCACACATGCACACTAATGCACACACGCAGACACAAATGCACATATTTTTTAAACAAATTCAATTTTTGGCAAGGCTTTAAGCAGGCATATTTAAGTTAACAGATAACAAAGACAAGGAGGAGAGCAAGAAAGGGCTGTCGACACTGGTTTGGAAGTGAAGGGGCACAATAGCCAATTTTTTTAAAAAAAGTAAAAATTTCTTTTTAAAAAAAAAAAGTGTTTAAGAAAAAAGTGGGCAAGGAGCCAATGCCCCCCTCCCCCACTGGTGTTGTTGGCCCTAAGTTATTGACAGAAGAATTAATACAACTGTAAATTGTATAAGTCAGGAAAATATTTTGGTTTTTTTTTTTCAAGATTAGAAAGCGTCAATGTTCAAGAAAAAAAACTATTGGATAAAAATATATTTTGAGCATGAAAAAATAGTAACAATTAAAGGATGGACTTAACTGACTGACTGAACTACAAGTCATGTAAGATTGAGTTTTAGTTGATGAAACTATTTTACTTGTTCCAAAAAGTCATCTTAAAAGTTATTGTTCCAACATCATTTACAACAGTTATAACAATTACAAATTTAGACCTTGTCTAAAAGAGAGATATGGCTCAAATATGGGCTTGTTCTTTAAATTAAACCATATCCAAATTTGTATTGGTTGTCAGAGAGTAAGTTACTCAAGAAGAGATACTAGAATTTTGTTACTTTAAGATTAAAACTCAGTTAAACCAACACAAAAAATGTTCTTTGTAAATAATTCTGCTTTTACCTTATTTTACTTATGCAGGAAAAGAATATCAATTTTGTCTAACTGTTCAGTATCAATATACAAAAAAGTGCAGTCTTGGAAAAAAGTGAATTATGAAGAACAAAAATAAATTTGTTTGAGTGAAAAAGGGCTGTTTTAAGTAGATTTGAACATAGCTAGAGTGACCAGAGACATAGACAATAGGGTAGATTTGAACCTTGAACCTTTTTGATTGTGATACAAGTATTCTTTTTTTTGGTTCTAAATTATAGGAGGCCAATTTTGAATTTTTTAAAAAAAAATTCACTTGTTGTGCCCTCAGATAGTTAGGAAATTGTGTCAGTAAATTGGAACCATCATCCTTTTTTTTTCTAGTTAATTCAAATTTTTCAACAATTCAATAATTTAAACAATTAGAAAAATTTAGTAAAAATGTCATTTTAAATTAAAATTTATGTAACAATTGAGAAAAGAGTGATTTAAAAAAAACTTCCTATTTTTTTTAGAGAATTATATTTTTTTTAGTTTTTTTCTCATTTAAAATATGAATGTTTCATTCACATTACAACAAGCAAATCACAAACAAAAACTTACAATTACTACTAAAGTTACATTTAGAAACTGCATAACATACCTTGTAACACAAGACGTCAATATTTTTTCTCAAAATAAAAAAACTCCATTTTCACTTTTTAATTTAATTTTTGTTCATTCCTATTAACTACTATTTTTAATTAATGGGTTATGCATAAGTCTTCTAACTTTTTTTATAGATTCGTAAAAAAATATTGTGAGTTAGATAAAAAAATTAAACTATATGGTAATAAAGAACATTCATTCCAGTATTTATTAATATATTTAACATATTGAATAGACGCCTCTATCAGAGGTTTTTCTAAGTTTTGTTTTAACACTCATCATTAGTCTTTGTAACAGATCTGGATCATTTTCTTTCATTTCATTTAATTTGCTCTTTATTCTTCGAACTAGTTAATATATGCAACGTGCTCTCCAACCATCACTGTATACCATCTGACTTAAAATAGCCCAAAATGTTTCAATCGGTCTAGCCTGTGGAACATTTGGATTGTGGAACATGCGAATTAGTGCATTTTTGTACAAATTCTATGGAATTATCAGTAAACCAATTTTCCGTTTTATTAGCATGATGAGCAGTTGCAAGATCTGGCCAAAACACAAAATTATTATCTTTATGATGTTCTCTAACAAATAGTATAAGTCTTTTCTTCATACATTCTTTCACATATATATTGGATGTTATTGAATTCTTTGACCTATTTATATAAGGTTCACAAAATCCATTTGAAGAAATGCAAATCCAAACCAATACCTTTTCTTCAAATTTTTTTATTAACTTATATTTTACATTATCAGGGGCTAACAATTTATTATTTGTATAATATATATCATTTCCAGGTATATTTGAGTTTGATAGGTTAAAATATTTTTCGTCATCCATGATTATATCTTTTTCATGGAATACTTTATTAAATAATCTTCTCGATGATGTTGCTGCTCTCTGTTGTTGATCTTTTTCATACAAAGGTGATTTTTGTTTTTTATAGCATTTAATATCTGTTTTGAAATTAATAATTCTTGAAATTGTGCGCTGGTTCACTTTATATTATGAAGCTAAATACTTTTGACTAATACCAGTTAAATTATTTAGCATTTTAGTCAATCGTTTGACTTTTTTCTCATCCATTTTTGGAGGACAACCTGTTCTAACCAAATCATTATACACACCATACTTCTCATACCTTGCAAGAATACTAAATATAGTTGACTTTGGTATTCCTTCATTTTTAAAATGTTTAAATGTTAATTTCTTTTTATCACTTGAACGATTTTCATAGAATGTTACAATTTGTTTTGCAAGGGCTTCTCGATCAAACCTTGTCATTTTTGTATAGAAGTCTAGATAAAAATTAAAAGTGATTCAAATACATTAATGTTTGATCTTCAAAATAAACAATAAGTTAAAGGTTGAAAAATTACTCTCCTTATTTAAATCAGTTTCAAAAAAAGTTCAAAGACTTATGCATAACCCGTTATAAAACATTTTAACATGCTAAATATACCATATGCTAAATAATACAGAACAGCAGCAATCAATGGAAGGAGAAGAAGGGAAGAAGAATTTGATCCCCAGCAATTAAATGTAAAACCTTGAAGATTATATAAACAAAGTTCTGTTCTTGAGTACAAAGCTAAAATTTGTAGCCACCTGGTATTATTAACCTGACCAACTTTATAATTAGCATACATTGGATTTATAGCACCTAAATTTACATAGATATTTTTTCATTTTGACAATAAAATAAAATAAGAGTAAGTATTTGAATTTAAACCGCAAATTAATTTTTAAAACAATTTTATTTAAATTGTGTTTTCCTGAACTTCTACCACACATATGTTCAAACCTTTGATCAGAACTTAAGTCATTGATCACACTCTGTTCTGGGACATATATGTGTGTGTGTTTATATATATATATATATACATATATATATATATATATATATATATATATATATATATATATATATATATATATATATATATATATATATATATATATATATATATATATATATATATATATATATATATATATATATATATATATATATATATATATATATATATATATATATATATATATATATATATATATACAAGGGTTGAATTAAGCATATTGCGATTGTGCTTCACGATTGCTTTCCTCACCTTTGCAATTAGTTTTTTATTAAAAAAAAAAATTTTTGATGTTTTTTTTTTTTCTTTTAAATAGCTTCTTTTTTTTGGCTATTCTTAAAAATCTAGAACAAATGTTATTGTGTTAGTTTTTTAATTTTTAAATTTTATTGTGTAAGGTTTTTGATTTAATGTTTTTAAAGTATGCTTTTATTTTAAAGTAACGTCACGCTAAATTTAACTTTTAAATAAAAGTAATAGATATTTTTGCTTTCTTTTGTTGCTCTCTTGTGCGAAGACTTTTGTTCATTGTAAAGTACTTTTTTATTTTACTTACTTTAATCTCTGTGGGGTAAATAATAATTGCTTAACTCTATTTTAGAGTTAAAGCTTAATGTGATGTAATGTCAATAAACTTCACACTAAATTCACCTAAAAAATTAATCATATCAACCAATCATATTAACTATTAAGTTACATTATTCAACCATATACTTAACATGCCAAATCATTCCTAAACTAAGTTTAGTCGTGTTTCTATTGTTACTTACACATAAAAAGCTTCTAACCAGAAATTATTTTAGCAACAAATTTTAGATATATGTAAAATGCAAAACCATTTTTTAAATATTTTCGCAATATTTAAATCAATATCAAGGTATACATTTTCTAAATAAGATTTAAAACAAAATCAATTTGAACAACAGACTTTTACTATTCTGAAGTTCTTTTCAAATTATCTTGAATTTAAAGCTGGAAATTTAAAAAAAATTGTTAAGAATTTGGAACAATTTAAAAAAAGATTTTTAGCTCAAATGTTTTAAACATTTTTAATGTTCTTATACAATTATTGTAAACTTAATTTAATGAAAACTGTAGTGATGTCTGTAAGAAAAGATTTTCTAAAAACGGAAAATATAGAAACAGAAATAAAAATGAAAGATTTAATAAAAGTATCAAAATCATTTTGCAAAAATGTTCAAATTCAGAAAAAGTAATATAAAAATACTTCAAAAAAAAAGTCAAAAAAAAAAAAAAAATTAAAAAAGATTTTCAAATCTTTTTTAATCTTAACCCAAGTTCTCTTTTTGAATGTAAAAAAAGTTAATTTATTGAAAAGTAAATTTCTTAACCCAAGTTCTCTTTTCGAATGTTGCTCATTCATTATAAACATAAAATAAGGATCATAGGAGTAAACTATCTAGAGTAAAGAAAAAAAAATTAAAAAAGATTTTCAAAAAAAAAAAAAAAAAATTAAAAAAGATTTTCAAATCTTTTTTAATCTTAACCCAAGTTCTCTTTTTGAATGCTCATTCATTATAAACATAAAATAAGGATCATAGGAGTAAACTATCTAGAGTAAAGAAGTGGGAGAGACAATTTAATTGCAAGTTGGAGTATAATTTAAATTGGCTCGGTGTAATTAGATTACAATGCAGCCT